AGCCTATTAATGTGCTAGAGTATATTGACTGCTCTTCAAATGCTCAATTAGTCTCATATACCCAGAATAAATCCCACTTGGTTGTGGTTTATAACCTTTTTTTGATATTGTTGGATTCAACAAGATGACACACTATTGAGGTTTTCTGCATAGATATTGGTCTACAGTTTCGGTTTTCTTGTAATGTCTTTATCTAGATTTGGTATTAGGATAATGTTGGTTTCAGAATGAGTTAGGAAGTATTCCTTTACTTCTCTCCTCTAAAAGAAATCATACCAAATGGTATAGTTTCTTTCTTAAATGTTTTATGGAACTTATTAGTGAGTTCCATCTGTACCTGGTACTTTCTATTTTGGAAGGTTATTAATTATTAATTCAGTTTCTTTATAGGTATAAACCTATTCAGATTATTTCTTCTTATGTAAGCTTGGTCAGACAGTTTATTTCAAAGATTTGGTTCATTTCATGTAGGACATCAAATTTGTGGTCATTGAGTTGTTTGGAGTATTTATTTATTATCCTTTTAATGTCCACAGGATCTGTAATAATGTCTTCTCTTTCTCTTGTGGCATGAATAGTTTGTGTCTTTTCTTTTTGCCTCTCTTTAGAGGCTTATTAATTTTACTGATTTTTCCCTAAAGAATTAGCTCTTGGTTATACATTTTCTTTTCTGAGACTCTATTCCCAGTTTCATCAGTTTCTCTAATTTTTGATTACCAAGTACTAACTGTACATATTAATGGAAATCGGTGTGATATTTCAAAACATATGGTAGGTAATGGCCAAATCCAACCTCCCTTTGTCCACCCTACTCCCAGTCTCTAGTAATCACTATTCTATGTTGAGGTTTTGAATTTAATGTTCACATATGGGAGAGAAGATGCTTCTTTGTGGCCTGGCTTATTCATTTAACATAATACACCCCCATCCCTCCAGGTTTCATTCATTTTGTTACAAATAATAGGATTTCATTTTGGCTGATTTCTGGTTAAATAATTCCCAATTGTGTGTGTGATATAACATTTTCCTTAGCCATTCATCTACTGATGGTCACCTAGGCTGCTTCATATTTTAGCTATTGTAGACAGTGAGGCAATAAACCGTGTTCTATTACACTGAGGTATGTCTTTGATATGCTGACTTCCTTGCCTTAAACTATATATCACAGAAATGGAAGTTATATCACCTGGTAATATCTATTTTAGTGTTTTAAGGAACCCTTATACTAGGGGTTCTTCATAACAGCTCTACTATTTTACATTCCTATCAACAGTGAGTAAAAGTTCCTTTCTCTCCATATCCTTGACAACATTTATTATTATTATTATTTATTTTTTAATAAAAGTCATTCTATCTGTGGTGAGATGATACCTCATTGTAGTTTTAATGTGCATTTCCCTGATGGCTAATGATACTGAACATTTTTCCATATATGTTGGCCATTTGTATTTTTTCTTATGAGCAGTGTTTGTTCAGATCCTTTGTTCACTTCTTAATAGAATTACCTTTTTTGAGTTCCTTATATATTTTGTCTATGAATACATTTTTGGATGAATAATTAAAAAACATTTTCTCCCATTCTCTAGGTTTTTTCTTGACTCCATCAACCATTTCTTTTGCTGTACAGAAGCTTTTTTAGTTTGATGGGATTTCATTTGTCAATTTTTTCTTTTTTCAGTCCCGAAAAACTCACTGTCTATTAAAATGTCTTGAAGCATGTCTATATTTTCTTCTAGTAGTGTCATCAGAGTTGCACATCTAACACTAAGGTCTTTGATCCATTTTGAGTTATTGTCGTACAGGGTGAGAGATGGGGTCAAKTTTCAATCTGTTATGTGGCTATCTAGTTTTCCCTCACCACTTATTAAAGAGGCAGGTTGTCCTTTCTACAATGTACGTTTTTGGAAACTTTGTTGAGAATCAATTGGCTGCAGATGTATGAATTTAATTCTGGAATCTCTATTCTGTTCCACTGATCTTTATTTCTGTTTTTTATGCCGGTACCATACTGTTACAGATACTTGGCTTTGGATTGTCTCTTAAAATTGGATAATGTAATGCTTCCAGCTTATTTTTTGTTCAAGATTGCTTGGGCTATATGGGCTCTTTTGTGCTTCCATAAAAATTTTAGGATACATTTTTTTCTAGTTCTGTGAAGAATATCATTGCTATTTTGATAAGGATTACAATGAATCTGTAAATCACTTTGAGTAGTTATGGGCATTAAAAACAACACTAATTTTTCAATCCATAAACATAGGAGCTTCTCTATTTTTGGTATGTATTCATCAGTGTTTCATAATTTTCATTGTAGAGGTTTTTCACTCTGTTTAAATCTGAGGGGTATTTGCTTTTTTGGGGGAGGTAGTCATTATAAATGGAAATGCTTTCTTGCTATAGTGTTTATTATTTGTTTTCTTCTGCTTACTTTGGATTTACTCTTTTTCTAATAAACTAAGGTAGAATCTTAGATGACTGATTTTTAGCTTCTTCTTTTCTAGTATATGCATTCCTTCTAAGTACTCTCTTTTCAGGGTTCCCCAAATTTTGATATGTTGTATTTTCAAATTTCTCTTTGCATTTTGCCTTTGACTTGTGTTATTCTGAAGTATGTTTCTGAATCTCAAAGTATTTGAGATTTTTTGTAGCTATCATTCTATTATTGATTTCTAGTTTAATTCCAGTGAAGTCTGAGAGCAGAAACTTTATGATTTATAATTTAAAAAAATTATAAGGTATGTTTAATTTGTCTAGACTGTAATTTATCTGAAATCACCATTCTTTGTATATTCTACAGATTGTATACGTAGGAAGATACCTTTTTGTTTTCTTTTTTTCCTAAACAGGGTCATATTATATATAATGTTCTGCAATTTGCCTTTATTAGTCACTTGGTATATCTGGGCAATCTTTTCTTTCCCCTACAGGACAGTTGCTACTTCCCCAAGCCCTAACCCCCTTTTTAATAAATGTACASTATTATGCAGTAGAGATAGACCAAAATTAATTTAACTATTTTTCTGTTAATGAGCATTTAGAATCATTTTTATTATTACTACAAACAATGCAGTAATAAATATTTTCATAAATACATGTGCCCATGTCTGAGTATTTCCTAATGAAACATTCCTATAAGTGAAATAGCTGAATAAAAAGGTTTATGCATTTGCAATTTTGATAGTGAAATATGCTACTGAATACCAATTTATACTCCCACCAATATGATGCAGGAGTCATTCCTCATACCTTCATTAACACTGTTGATTATCATTCTTTTAAAGTATCTTTGCATCGATTGATAAAAAACTGAACTCACCTCAATTAAATTAGTAAGGTCCTGCATCTTTCATGAATTTATTGTACATTTGTAGTATGTGTTTATATTTTCACTCATTTTTTTTTTCTATTAAGTTTGACTTACTCATTTGTAGGAATGTTTTACATATGTTCTGGACATTATTTATTATTTAAGAATTATATATTTTCTCCTGGTCTATTAACTGCATTTTAATAATATAATGGTTGAAAGTGGATCTTTTCTTGTATGAAATTTGTTACTTTTCATCTTTCAAACCTGTTAGTCATAACTAAACGAGACACAAGAATTATGAGACAGGTAGCCCATTGTTTAAATGTTGCTTTACAATAGATATTCTTGTCACAATGATAAAACACTATCTTTACCATTAGTTTAATGTCCACACTATGTCACTTGATTTCCATTTTAGCTATTCTCTTTCACTGATCTATTTGTATATTTTTCTTTCTGCTATTTTCATATCACACTTTAGATTTAAAAAGTGGTGGGACTATAGAAAGAAACCTGGACACCAAGACTAACAAGAGGCATATAGTATTAATTGGGTAGGTTATTTTCTGTCTGCTAACAAGTATATATCTTCCACTATGCTCCTGAGTAATGTGCCAGTTTTTGACAGCTTCCTAATCTATTCCTTTTACCCAAACACTGTCATTCTTTTAAGAAACATATAAATGCTCTTAAAACAAGGACTTCCAGGATTTAAATTTACTGTAGCTCTTAATTTTAATTCCCATAATTCATTTGCTTTTGAAAAAAACGGGAACAAGTAGAATACATTTAAAATAACTCATACATTTAAACCTAAGTAAACAATATACTACATCTAAATGTATAGTAAACAAGAAAGTTCGTAGTATTGGACAACAAGATCACCGTATAAACATAGGTATATAGGTCTATAAAAATAGACTCTCCTCCCTCAATGACTGAAAGACATGTAGGCACAATGGCCAGTTCCAACTCATATAGGGAGCCCATAAAAATAAAAGTCGCAAAATATATCTACATATATAATGTCAGAGAAAAATGAAACATTTTCTTAAAAAAATCTATCAAGATCTCCATTCTAGATAGAACAAGACTAAATCTCATCAGACACATGAAGAAAATAAACTTAGAATGAGAAAGTCCAACATAAACTCAAAATATGACTTGAGATAAAAATTGGGGAGAGTCAGAAAAGCAGGAAAGATTATAATCAACAAACCAATCACCCAGCCTTCAACCAACCAACCAACCAACCAACCAAAATATCAACCAAAATAGTTAACCTCAAAGATTTCTGTTTTCAACAATAGTAATCTCCATTCTTTTCAGATAATCTAAAAACTCAGTGTAGATAATAAAGAACATAATCACAATACATAGTAATCTTAAACCAAACTAATTTAGCATAAACTTCTATGGTAGCTTTGTCTAGATGTTTCTGCCACTATACCCAGTAGTGTGTGAAAGAAAAAAGAACTTCAATGAAAGGGAACACCTTGGGAGTTGGGTATTTTTAATAATATGAAACAATCTTGGTTCTTGTGAGAAAACGCAAAGATATTTGTTTTGAATTATCTTGATGTTTGAATTTAAATATGAACACTTAAATATACGGTACTCGAAAGGTAATATTACAAAATAACACCCCCAAATGGGAAAGACGACATAGCTCAGAAAACAGCTGACTCACCCTGGGAAATTGTACTAAACAGTGCAGGATCAATGGCTGGAATAGTCTGTGGAGTAGGTTGGATAGTATTACTCGTTACACCTGCAAATCAGAAAATTACAAATAGGTATAAAGTATTACAGCTCTTAATTACATGTTAGAAAAAAAAACTAGAAGATAATGGAAGAATTATATTACTTCATTTAAATATTTTCTTAAAACCTTTGTGCTTATTTGAGGTTAGAGGCTAGTAGAGAAAATATGCAGGAAAACTCAGTTTATTGGCCATATATTTCCTAATGTATATTTTGTTTGTCATGTGTGATTCTTCAACTTGCTTATCAATTGAAGCTTATCACAGACTCCCTTCCTATCTTTTAATTTCTTAGCCAATTAAATAGTTTGGAGACAAGGTGTGACATAATTATGACTGGTTTAACTTCACATGAGTCCCAATTCATCACTCTACATGAAACTACGAATTATACACTTCAAATTGTCCAGTTAACATTTTTTTTCAAATATTTATTTTTAGTTGTAGTTGAACACAATACCTTTATTTTACTTATTTATTTTTATGTGGTGCTGAGGATCTAACCCAGGGCCCTGCACATACTAGGCTAGCACTCTACCACTGAGCCACAACCCTAGGCCCAGTTAACCCGTTTTTAAGATAGTATTTTTATAGATCAAATAATTTTGTCTTCCTTTTAGAACCTGTCAAAATTGTCACATTCAATGAATTACTAGTTCTAAGCCTAAAATATGTATTAGAATTGTAGATTATTATTTACCTAAAAAATTAACTCAGTGTTGAAATTCCCAAAAAAGGAAAAAAAAAAAAGACTTAAATGATTCAATCAGCAGAAAAAGCAAACAAAGAAAAGTTCATTCATTACTCCAAATCAATGAAGTCAACTAATCTCTCAAAATAAGATTCATTTGTTTCAAACTGAAATAGGTTACATTTAGATAGATTAAAGTGAAGTGAGAAATTGGTAGTAAGGGTAAAGTGGTAAAAATAGTGGGATAAGGAAGGGGTAACAAAGGAAAAGCAGGAGATAAAGAGAAAAGTTTATAGGAATACAAATATATGTTTTCTAGAACGCTGGTTTCATAAAGGCTGGTTCAAATTCTTCCTGGTATGTTTTGACTATGAAGGATCTTCTTATTCTAACCTATTGGGAAAAATAATTTAAATACAGACTATTTTACTTTGCTTATTTTGTTTTAGGGCAAATTAGCGACATTTCTTAGACTTTGGAAGGATTAAACATCATAAGTCTGACTTTTTAACTGAAAACTGGGCTAATAAAAACTTTTTAAATGCAAAGGGGTATTGACAAAAGGCCAAGTAAAATTTTTAAATAGTACAAAAAATATATGTGTTAAAACCTACCTCTCATTTCTACTCCTAGACACATTAGGGCTATTACTAGTTTTGAGGGCATCTTTTCATATTTAGCCTAACCTATCAATACATATACTTTCGTTACTCTTTATTAAGAAATCTGTGTTCCTGCCTAAATAAAAAACCTCTAAACACACTCCTTTCTCTATCAAGACATTTTGCAAATGGCAGTATGTTGTGCTTACTATATCTATCCTTGAATTTTCTCCTTAATATGGCTTAGTAGTAAGTAAATCTTCCCGGTTCTTTTTTCTTTTTAATATTTTTAGTTGTAGATGAACACAATACCTTTATTTTATTTATTTATTTTTATGTGGTGCTGAGGATGAAACCCAGTGCCTCACACATGCTAGGCAAGTGCTCTACCACTGAGCTATACCCCCAGCCCTCTTCTCTGTTCTTTTTTAATGGCTATATAAGTGCTCCATTCTATGAATGGACCATAATTTATAAAGTAATTCTTTACTGACATTCAACTTGTTTCCAATGTTTGTTACTACAGATAATGCTATGGTGAATATTCTTATAAAACTCAAATATGTGTATGAATATGCAAAGAAAAATTTATAGAAGTGTTATTCTAAAGTCAGAAGACACAAATTTTAAATTGATCAATTCATGTCCCCCTCCTTGATTTTGTTTAGAGCTAACCAAATATATTAAACTATAAACACCAAACCTGCTTAACATTTAAAGGCATGTAAATATATGATATTAAGATAGGTTAGAATGTAGGATCTAAGAATCTTCAAAGATTAGTCAAGTCCAGTGCTCTGATGCAGCTATACTCAAAAAATGTATGTAGATAATAGTATATATTTTTCATATACATCTTTTAAAAAAGACAGTCTATGTCAATACCATTTTTGGCTAAATAATTTGTATTTGTTCTTAAATTAAAATTCTCCAACTGCTTTTTGGAAAAGGTATATAATTTTGTTGGGCTCCTGCTCTAACCTTTTAACTTATTTGTGTAACTTCTATGTGATCAAGTAAAAAGGCACTATTAAGAACAAAACAGAACTCACAGGGAGAAAATTTTTAGTTATATTGTAAAATTTCATTTGAGCAATATTAAACATCTGCATGTTATGAAATAATGTCATTCAACTAAGATTTGAACTGACAACACAGACCCCTTAACATGCCTCAGACAGCACAAAGATGCTACTTCTTGTTCATCTTGAAGCATAGAGGCCAGGCTTGTCCTCTTGGCAGCAATCATGAGCATGTTACCACTGGGCCTAGAGTAACTGGCTCAACAAAGCTTATAAATACCCGTGTAGTTATTAAAATGCTTTTTTGTTTATGTTGTTTGTTTATTTAATGAGATGCTCAAATCTAGTTATTTCTCCTTCTTTCTTGATTTGGACAGGTCTCATGTGACAATTTGCCACACRGTTGTAGCTCTCTAGATTGCAATATGTTGGAGTGATGTGACCCTAAAGCAGTCCTGGGGAAAGCAGAATTGGGTTGGAGATTTCCTCTATTCAACAATTTAATAAAAAAGAACTGTTGTGAAGTAACTTCTGATTAACTTTTAAGTAGATAGTTATATAGCATATTAGATGGGATCAATACATATTAAATGTTGCAAGATTGTAGGTATGCACTAAATTGCTTTACTGACAAAGCAGTGTGGGGATCTGAAAAGGGAGGCATGGCTGTTGGTTAGAAAATTAGATAAGATGATCCAAAAAATTCTAACTAAATAAAACCCCAAAAAAGGAATTCAGAGAGGCAGAGAGAGAGAAAAAAAAAAGTTAGCCTATGAGGAACAAAAGGTAAGAAAATAGGAAGATCAGATTAAGTTAAACCTCAGTGTAATCATGAAAATAGAACTGAGAGAAATGGGCAGGCTAGAATACCAAAAACACATCAAAGCCTCACAGAAAACAAACTCAGTACTTTTGACACCAGGACTACCACAACATAGTTCAACTTTTCTATGTATAAGGTGAGCTACACTTTCAATGAAAAGCTTAGCATTGATTAAAACATGTTCTATTAATTCATCTAATTACATATTCTACCAAGAGCTTCTATAGTATTTATAGACTGTAAGACGCATATGCTTCAAGTAAGAGGAAAAAAAGGAGTTTACAGTCTCCTACAATGTGATGTTTGTGAGTGGTTAAAGCAAAAAAGGTAAACACTTAGCTTTTTAAACAATCACTATCCATGTCCTCTTTACATCCCCTTTGCTTTTTTGTGGAAGAACTAAATATTGTAAATTAGTACACACTATTCTTTTCAGCTATCTTAAGGATTTCCCTCTGATAAAAGTGCATCCTGGACCTTTATATGAGAGAAAGTAAATCACCCTTAAAGTGAATAAGAGGGGAAACATCTGCTATATTTATAAACTAAAAATGTTATTCTGTTTTTTTTTATTAGACAACTATAAACTGATTTTTAAAATGTTTCAAGTATAATAGAAAGAAAATATCTGGGGACTAGGAGGAGAGTTCCATATCTCAAACCAGCATTAAAGAAAACTGTAAGTTCACTTTACTATCAGAAAAGTAGGTTTGGATTTGACAGTATTTTAATTCTTTGGAGAAAGGGACACAGAAAGGAGGTCATAAAATCATAAAGTCATAGAGGTTTGGCTTCAAATTTCGCTAATGTCACTGGGTATATTTTTTTTATTTTTATTTTTTAATTGTAGTTGAACATACTACCTTTATTTTATTTATTTTTATATGAGGCTGATGATGGAACCCAGGGCCTTGCATGTGCTAGGCGGGGGCTCTACTGCTGAGCCACAACCCCAGACTGTAGATTTGTTTTAAATGCAAAGTTTGCAAGAATTTATAAAGTAAGATAGAACTTTATCCTGTAAAAATTCAAAGGTTTTAAATTTTATTCTGTCCACTGAGGACCAAAAGACAGAGAAAGAAAGAGAGCGGGGTGGGGAGGTCATAAAGACCAATCCAAAATAAAAAACAGCTTATGCTGGAGTTAATCAGATCAGATTGAAGTGTCTACACTAGAAAATTTCCTATTATCACCTCCTAATTTCTATCTTTACAACATGAATATTCTAACAGACATTGTCTATTAGTTTGATCACATGAAACTACCAATATTTTGTCATTTTTGTTGCATAAGACTAGCAATTACATATAAAGCAACTTAATATAGACCTTCTACTAACAGTATGTTCTTTCTTTCACATTGAGTAAATCTGTAAGTACACCATATACATATGTGACTTTACTATAGTTCTGCCCTAAGATATATTGTCTAAAACAATATCCCTTGGATAATCTTTTTGTAAGTTTAATATCCTCCCCCCTAAATATGACACTTCTTTTGATTCATAAAATTATTTCTAATTCTCATTAATTTAGCATTAAATGCCCTGTGTCTTTGGCAAAGAAATAGGAAGGAAAGGGGGAAAAAAAGAAAGAAAGAAAGCCAGTTTGCTGAATGCTGAGTTTTGTGTTAGGCTTAATAGTAGTCAATTTTTTATACTTTTTCCCCTTTTAATAATTAAAATACCCATGAGAAATAAGTATTAATTTCACTGTAGAAAGAAGAAAAACCTAGGTTGAGGGAAGCTGAAAAATTGTTGAGTTGGTGTTTAGGAAGGGGTAGAAATTAATAACAAATACCATTTGACACAAAAATGCACCACATTCCTCTATAAGAAAGCTTGTTTGGGACTCTTAATTAGTGTTTAATTTTGAAGTACCTTTCAAAAGTATTCACAAAAGGCTACACTGAAGTAACTGGTTTTGCTTAATTATCCTACATTGGGAATACTGAATGTTTCTACAAGATAATAAAATATTTAAAACAAAGTTCCATAAAATTTTACTTACAAAATAAATTCAAATGGTTTTATTAATGTCATCATGCAGACCAATTAACACGGAAAAGTCAGGGTAAAATATGCCAAATGCTGACACAAAGAGATCAGGGATGTGATGATCAATTTCATTAATCAATTTAAAGACAAAAAGTCAGCAATATCTGTAGAAAATATAAGGCTGAAAATTTAAAACAGGAAGGAAAATATTTATTGTAATTGCTTCTACAACTGTTAAGATGAAAAACTTTTAAATGTTATTCAATTTGTGCAAAATCACCTGAATGAGCTGGATAAAACGGGGCTGAAAACTAACTCTATGAAGTGAAGATGTGGGACTGTAGCTTAGTGGTAGAGCTCTTCCCTAGCATGTGTGAGGCATGGGGTTCGATTCTGAGCACCACATATTAATAAATAAAAACAAAGGTCCATCAACAATAAAAAAATATTAAAAAAGAAGGCTAACTCATTTTATTAAATATCCTGTAAATGTTATATAGTGTCATACCACAGATTATTGAGGCTGAGACAAATGAAAAAAATTAAGGATAATTCTTGGAAAAAAAATCAAAATTGAATGTAAGAATTAAGTAAGAACACACATAGTTTTTAATTTGCGATTAAGAATGGTACTTGTCAACAACACAAGTAAACTGGAATGTATATTCAGTTTTGTGAAAGTGTCTTCACTGACACTGACCCAATGCTGGATATCAGTATTTTCATAAAAACACCCACAGAATACTGATCTATTCAAAGATCATATATAGCTCTCCTGCTCTATTTTAAGGCCACACATTTATAATATTAAAAAAAAAATAGTAACCTGAACTCCCTTCTTTCAGCTATGATTTCACTGCTCCCAATCACTGATAATTTCCATATAGAGGGTAGAAGCAGGGTCCTAATCTTGCCATCACAGTGTGACCCTGACATCTCCTACAAGAATCCCCACTCTTTTCAGTGCTATTCTTAAACAATGGTGGAAGAGAAAAAAAAAGGAGTCTAGAAAAACAGCAATACCCACAAAAAGTACAGAAACTACTCTTATTAATAAAATATAAAGTTAATAGTAATCCACACATAGAAATATATGTCATTGCTCAAAAAAGTAGATTATAAAACATCAAAATTATGAAAATAATTTTCATGAGATCACACAAAACTTAAGTATCACAGAATTTATGACTATCAGTATGAGGTTCAAATATGATGAATGCAGTTCTTCTTTCTGAAAGGAGAATTTGAAAGCTGAGTTCTTATTTCCTTACCTGTGCTGTGAGGCACTTCTGCTGGAGTATTTGCTGGAGCGTGTGCACCTGGAGGAATCTGTATTCCAGTATAGCCGCCTGAAGGCATGCTGGATGATGGGTCATAAGATGATGATGATGATGGCTGAGACGGCTGTGTGGGCAGGGAGGATGATCCAGCATCTTCATTTTCCTCAACATCTATTATGTAACACATATACCGTATTAAAGTAGGCAGTTTGAAATACAAATGCTGAATATTCTTATTTTACTATACACACAAGATAAAAGGAATCTTCATATGCAATTCTATTTAAGGCAATTGATAAGTAGGCTCTTTCTCTTGAAATAATTACTGCAATTTCTTACAAAAATTAATTATCCCCAACAATATGATTATCACTTTTTTCAGTTTAACACTAATTTCATAAATTTTTACACATAGCATATTTTCTTTTTCTTTTTTAAAAAAAATATTTATTTTTTTAGTTATAGGTGGACACGATAACTTTGTTTTATTTTATGTGGTGCTGAGGATCAAACCCAGTGCCTCATGCATGCCAGGCAAGCGCTCTGCCTCTGAGCCACAACCCCAGTCCACATAATTTTCTTTAAAATAAACTTTCTTTAAAAACTTATGAAAGATCAAGGAAATTTTTGACAAAGAATGAGTTGAATTTATGCTATTCAACGTGAACTCTATTTTCTGAAAATTGCCTTTTACTCAGTACTTTGTATTAACTATTAAATAACTTATGTATGTTGTTCAAATTAAGTTAATAAAAACAAAGGAATATAATTTCACATTTTGTTATGTAGAAAGAAGTATGAGATACCTGGTTTTTAAGTTTTGAAATGTACATTTAAAAAATATATAGTATCATTAGCTGACTCTGAACACTAATCTGAGAAAATTAAATTTTGATAGTATATTTCAAGTGACAATTATATATCCTATCTGAAGAGCAGGTGCAAAGATTTTCTCCCATTCTGTAGGTTCTCTCTTCACACTCTTGATTGTTTCCTTTGTTTTGAGAAAGCTTTTTGGATTGATGCTATCACATTTATTGATTCTTGATTTTATTTCTTGTGCTTCAGGGATCTTCTTGAGGAAGTTGGTTCCTGAACAGACATGATGAAGAATGGGGTCTACTTCATCTTCTAGTAGGCTCAGGATCTCTGGCCTAATGCCTAGCTCCTTGATCCTCTTTGAGTTGAGTTTTGTGTAGGGTGGGAGATAAGGATTAAATGTCATTCTACTACATATGAATTTCCAGTATTCCCAGCACCACTTAAAAAACAAATAACCCAATCAAAAATGGGCAAAGGGAACTGAACAGGCACTTCACAGAAGAAATATGAATGGTCAACAAATACATGAAAAAATGTCCAACATCTCTAGCAATTAGAGAAATGCAAATTAAAACTATACTCAGATTTCACTCCAGTCAGAATGGCAAATATCAAGAATACAAATAACAATATATGTTGGTGAGGATGTGGGTAAAAAGGTACACTCATACATTGCTGATGGCACTGCAAATTGGTGCAACAACTGTGGAAAGCAGTGTGGAGATTCCTCAGAAAACTTAGAATGTAACCACCATTTGACCCAGTTAATCCCACTCTTCAGTATATATCCAAAAGAGTTAAAATCAGCATATTAYAGTGACACAGCCACATCAAAATTTACAGCAGCTCAATTCACAATAGCTAAGCTATGGAATCACTCTGGTGTCCTTCAACAGATGAAGGGATAAAGAAGATGTGGTACATATACCAATGGAATGTTACTCAGTCATAAAAAAGAATGACTATGACTTTTGCTGGATCTGGAGACTGTCATGCTAAGTGAAATAAGTCAATCCCCCAAACCCAAAGCCGGAATGTTCTCTTTGATATGCAGATGCTAACACACAATAAGGAGTGGGGACAGGGAAGAATAGAAGTTCATTGGATTAGACAAAGGGGAATGAAGGGAAGGGAGGAGGGATAGGAATAGGAAAGAAAGAAGAATGAATCGGACTTAAGTTTCATATGTTCAGATACGAATACATCACCAGTGAAACTCCACATCATGTACAACCACAAGACTGGGATTCTAATAAGTTATATTCCATGTATGTATAATATATCAAAATACACTCTACTGTCATGTATATCTAAAAAGAACAAATACAAATAAACTTCAAGAAGATACCTGCATACCCCTGAATTGTACATACACACTTAGGGAATACTCAAGGAATCCTTAAGAAAGCAACAACTTAAAGCTGAAAGTGGTAAAAAGTTTGAGTTAAGGCAAGTTAACTGTTAGAATAAGAAACAGGACTTTACAGAGGAAGATAACAAGCTGTAGAGAGGCTATAACATGCTATTAGCAATAGGAATTATTCGTATGTGGGAAGAAAGGACAATGTGAATAGAAATCAGAAGAAAAAATGTTTATAGAAAAAGACTTTGGATATAAAATTAGCATAAAAGAACATTAATAAGTTAACTATTATACATATGATTAAAGCCATAAAGAAAAACATGGCCAAAATGAATGGCAGAGGAATAACTCTCTAAGAGAAAAGAAACCTATAAGATGGGAATAAAAATAGATGAGACTAAGGAGACACATGGCAAAATAGGATGAAATCTAGCTGTAGCACTTACATCCATAGCTTCTCTGTGTGTGTGTTGGAGGAATTAAGTTAAAAAAAAAAAAGGGTGATGGACAGAATATAAATGAAGTCAGAGAATGTCAAGCCTGGATGAAGGGCATATAGGAATCTTTTATTCTGTTCAGACAACGTTTTGGTAAATTTTCATTGTATCAAAAATAAAGTTACCATATAAAAGGAGTTCATTTCAATTTTATATTTTTTATATCATCAATTTTATATAATGTCTATTCAAATGTCATGGCAAAAGGGTATACATTCTGCTGTCAAAAGTAAGTGTATTACTTGGTTTTTACCTAAATTAAGTTACACTGTCTATTATTTTCTATTGGTTTTATTAGAAATTCAATTTTAGGATAATAGATTAGATTTTGGTTAAATATAAATACACTGTTAAGAGCTGAAAAATACAACAGAATATAATACTATACTGAGAAAATGGGAAAAAAAGATTTTTTTCTCATACAAATTGAGATTTAATAACTTACTCTTGTAGAGCCTTAAGCCATTTCTAAGCAGATACTGTAAGATGTTGTGACATTAACACCTGATTATGACACCAAGTCTGTTTTAAGTTAATAAGCTAAAAAAGTATACAGTGAAAAATATTCTCCTCTGTGCCTTTCAGGATTTCTGTAGACACAATTTTCTACTATCCAGAGGCTCCATGAAATTTGTATGACAACAAAGAATAGAAATTAAAACTTTGGGCTGGGGCTGTAGCTCAATGGCAAAGCACTTGCTTAGCATGTGTGAGGCACTGGGTTCAATCCTCAGTACCACATAAAAACTAACAAATAAAGGCATTCTGTCTGTCTACAACTACAAAAAAAAAAAAAAAAAAAAAAAGTTAAAAAAAGAAATTAAAACTTCTCCTTACACCAAGTTTTGGAAAACAAAACAAAAATTACCTACACTTAATAATCTACTTAGTGTGATAAAAGGACTACAAATAACTGTTTCAGAACCAAAATGTAAAGGTTTAAGAAGCCAGTGATATGGGAAGAATACCTAAAAAAAAAAAAAAAAAAACTGATAACTCTGATATGCCTAAAATGACATGTGAAATCATCCTAAGAAAGCAAACAGATGTTTAATATAAGTATTTTCATGGTATATTTAAGAGTATAAGCATAACCATATAAAAAAGCTATCTTCCCAAATCAAATGTGATTACTACACATAAAGACCCAGTCCATCTTTGCTTCCATCTTCTTTTAAAAWTTTTCTGTATTTTTTTATTGGTGCATTACAGTTGTACTTAATGGTGGGATCTGTTGTTATATATTTGTACATGCACATAATATAACAAAATAATCTGGCCAATATCATGCTTGGTTCTCCCTGGGAGATTCACATTGCACTTCTGCTTCACCTCTTGCTTTTGAGCTGAGAGCTTCAACTTCTACTTTTATCCCAACTCTTTCTTCAGAAATCTTTGGTAGAATAGCTAATTGCCAGTTGGAGCACTTCAAGTAGTAGTTACCTTAGCATCTCAATGTCTTTTTAAATAAAATCTCTCCAACCAAACCTACTCATCCTGTACTAGCCATTTCTTTGATGGAATTACCATGCCTCCAATCACCTAAGTTGGAAAAATATGAGTCATATGCCAATATCTCTGTCTTCTTTCGAATTAAACTGTCTTGAAGTGCTATTGATTATACTTCTCTATTTGCTCTCTGTATGCCCATGGCTGAGAACTTACACAGGCTGTTATTATAATTTGGATTACCAAAAGCCCTTGAATTTGTCTCATAATTAGAAGACCTCTCCTCCTCCAATTCATATACCCTCACATTCTGAATCTGCCTCCCTGCTTCTGTGGAAGTTCTTTTCAGATATAGCATCCCTCTCCACTTTTTAACCTGACTTTAGTTCAGTTAACTACTAAGACATTGTTCAGGCATAGTCTCTTACCAAATTAAAAATGCTGACTAATCTATCATCACTCCTCATGGGAATAGAAGCTCCTATAAGAAAAGGGTGTGTGGCATATTCATCTCTAGTATTTGGCTAATACAAAAAAAAATGACATTAAAAAGGAAAAAAAAATTCTTGAACAAAAGAAAGAAAAAATACATAAAGATTTTAAAAACAGAAGCACAAGTGTATGTCTTGGTAGGTAGAGGTCTGCATCATGTCTAAAGCACAAAAATCCTCCTCATAATGTTGATACTATCCTCTCAAGGGAAGATTAACAGTTATGCTGAATGACTGGCTGAAATTATTTCTTAAAAGCTCACGGAGAAGATAAATATGTGTAACTCTTCTTATTCTATGTCAAACTAGTTGAAGGAAAAAAAATGCATGTGCTCATTTGGATTAAAAAAGATCTGGGTTCCAACGATGGCTATATTAACTAGTTACTAGAACTTGGGCAAGTTATTTATTCTTTTTAAATACTTATTTCCCCAATAATAAGTAGGGATGATCAACCATGTCCCAAATTTAAGACGACTAACTTAGATAGTAAATGTTTAGCATTGTGCCTAACATCAAGCAAGTACTCTATAAATCATATTATTGTAA